TTAATTTTGCATCATGTTGATATGTTGTGCATACATTTGATAATATGGGCCACATCTATATACAATATCAATATAAAAAAATGTATATGTCATGAATTATTATAATATTCAAATAATATTATTATTATTAAATCATAAGACGTACTTCAGTAACAGCACTTTGACAAGGATGAGGTTCAAAACTATCTTCAATTGGAGGATCAGTATGTCTAAATATAGCAGCTAATCTGTCTAGCCATATCACAGGATCAGTCTTAGTTCCTACTTCGATGGGGATTCTACGTTCCATAATCTCACACAATGGTCTTGCTTGAAACCAACATAATTCTTTCATAGCTTGTGTAAGTTTTTCACGTGGTAAGCTTGACATAATTATTGCTACTCCTATTTTAAAATAATAGATATACTATATTGTTTTAAAATTTTTATTTGTTAGCACTTATATTATCTTACCTTTAAGCAAACCAATAGCAGCATCATTACTGATAGCAAAATTATCAAGGGAACGTGCTATTTGTAATAATCCTGGAAAATGTGAAGCCATATGTGATGGGCAAGCAGTACATATACTTAACAATGCACCACAAGCTGCACTTCCTAAACCTTTTTGATTTAAGCACGTCAAAAGAAAATTCAAAACAGGTTCTACAAATTTAATTTTAAATTATTTATAATAAATAAATATATTAAAGCATAATTATTTTCAAACCTAGAGATTACCTAGAGATTGACGATGATTGTCTATCCATTCACAAAGTTCTCCCAATAATAAAATACTTGTATGACGAACAGCTATATGAGTATTTTCTGGTAAATTTAAAATGGCCTCTACTACTTTCGGCACTACGTCATTTTCTTTTCTGTATACAAATATTATTATGTTTGTTGAATCATAATAAAAATATTATTATAATTAAAAATAATATATAAAAATCTTTATTATATCAGAAAATTACGGTAAAATATTTTTTGCCACTGCTTGCATTACAAACAGAGCTGCTTCAGTTGAATCCCATGTAGGTACATGATTAGGCTGACCTTGTGGTCCTGGACCACCTGTCAAAGATGAAAACATTTGTCGAAAACAATGACTACTTCCAACTACAAATACAACATCCTTTATTAAATCTGAAACACGATTTCTAAAATCTGCAAATTCTTCTCCACCAGCTCCCTCTTCTACTAGACCTAACTGTTAAAAAAAATTATATTTAATTATAATATATAAATTATAATAATTATAAAACATCTTTAGAAAAAAATATTTAAATCATTTCATTTAAATATTGAAAATACTAACATGATCTGGTTCCATTTGGCAATGCCTACATAGTGCTCCAATTAATCTTTCAATATGAGGTCGAAATACTGCATTAAGATCATCGCTATTTTTTTGATAGAGAATTTCAGATAAACGATACCACAAATTGAAAGTTATTTGTGCTACTTCATAATCATGATGTCCAACACATACTAAGACAAGATCAAGAATTTTAATAGCATAATGTTGTTTTCCTCCTGTACAACCATTTACTATGGTTTCCAAGAAGGTTTCAGCTAATTCCGTAAAAATTCGACAATAGTTTATCGACCTAAACAATTTATATAATGACTAAGTACATATTTTAAATAATTAAAAGTTGTATTATTTTTTTAATTACATAGAAGAAATAAAGTTTACTTGTCCATATCTTCATGTGCAACAGATAAATGATATGGTTGTTCTAAGGTCATTACACTAGTAAAAAGAAATAATTGTAACTGTTGTAGTTGTATATTAGATTCGCTATTATTATCCTGATTACTATTACTATCTTCTTCCAAAATTTGCAGAATTACACATATACAATCTGCAGCTGCTTCATGTAATTGAGATCCAGTCATATGATTTCCAAGTATCTAAACAATGATATATAATACTTTATTTAAAGTTTATTTAAAGTCATCAGAAATTTATCTAAAATTATTAGATATCAATATTGACGAGAAAATATATACCTGAAGAGTATATACAATAACATCACTTGTAGGTACAAGAGGTATAGCATGTACAGCAATCCAACTTGTAAAACATCTAAGAATTGTAACACGGATTTGTACATTCTCTCCGCCATTTTTTAGACACATTTTCTAAATATATGATAAAAATATGAATATAAAATATTAATATATATAAATAAAATATATAAAAGTATATATTTTCAATTTACATACCAAAAATTCTGTCACTGTATCTGCACTTGCATTAAGTTCAAGCAATATATGTTGCCTGCGATTAGCTCCTAATCTATAAAATTATATACAATTTAAAAAAAAATTCTTTATAAATATTTGCAAATATGTATATTTAAATACCTAAGAGATCTTGAATTTACTTCTTCTGGTAATACTGTCATTACTTCAAGTAATGGCCATAAACTAGCAGTTGATCCGCCAAATCTATTAATTAAATCCACAACTGGTTTTTCCCATGTACACATTTGTAATGCAAGATCTGCTAATGCTAAACACAACTATAATAATAATTTGTATTATTGTAATCATATATACAAAAATATATATATAAATAATATAAAAAAAATTATATATAAACCTGTGTAACAATAGCAGAGTTGGTATGTTCATTAATTTGTGATATGTGATTCATTAAAGAATCTCTCAAAGAAATATGAGCTTCTGGAGGTAATTCTTGGAAACATAATTGTATTTTGGTACGCATTGTTTGTGCAGCAAAATAACAAGATTGAAAATCTCGTTTTTGTTGCAACATTTCATCTGCTATTTTCCATGCAAATACCTAAAAAATTATTTTTATAAATATTAATATATTTATACATATAATTTATATAAATATTTTATAAATATTATTTTTAAAAATATTATTTTTATATTTTTTTTATTTTTAAATTACAATAATATAAAAACAATATAATATAAAATTAAAATCTTTTATACATAAGGTTAGAGATTACTTGATATATCTATATTTTTTAATTTAGAATTTTATACATTTATATCATAAAATTATTAAAAACTATATCATCAATGACAGAAAAATTTGTAAGATACAATGCTTATAAAATTTCAAAAATATATAATAATTATAAAAAACCGTTAACAAATAACTTACTGATTTTTGTAATTCGTCCAACCATTGAGATATTTTTCCTGGCCCCGAAGGATTTGAATTATTATATAAAGAATATACAGCCTGGTAAACTGTTTCCAGGTCAGGCGGAGACTCCATTCTTCAAAAAATATTTATTTTCCCGGTAATATCCATACACACAGTTAATTCCTACTGACAACAAATCACTCGCGTTTTATACCGCGTTACATCCGATCTCCAAATCCAACCTGTACAACTACAAAAAGTTTCTTGTTCACACTATCAGCGCATATTCTGCTTTATCGACTTACAGCAAATAGTAATATTTATTAAAATTTAATTGAACAAATAATTTCGAATACATGCAGTTTTAAAAATAATCATTAATAAAAAATCTTCTTTCTTACGTGATTCCGTTTATATCATTAACCTATATATTGTAATTAAAATTATATTATCTATTACACGTTTATCAATCACAATTCAACTACAGTTGTATATCAACTGTTTATATATATAGTTATAAAATGGAATGTACTAACACATATTAAAATTATGACTGAATTTTGATCATGGTCTATTTAAATTATTTTTACTTGATATTTATAACTTAGGAATTTTCAAATAGTTTGTAACGTAATACACCTTTAAATATCCCGCCGTTTGTACGTTATCTGTAGAGAAGATGTATATGTACTACAGCTGAAGGATTTCTGTTTTTAGTGAATGCATACTTTCGTAAGTCCTACATGATCCATGGAAGCAATGCTTTAAAAGTTTGACGTTTGACAGTTGGACAACAAACAAGAAATAACATTTGAAATATACCATGAATGATTACAAAATTCCAATAATCGAACCAACTATCGATTGTACAAAGGTGTAAACATTGGTGTTTTTATTGTTTTTTTTTCTATTACTTATATATAATAATAGACAATTTTTTTTAATACTTTTTTATTATTAGGTTCCACCAATTAATCAGAAAAGAACGATTTCTTTTATTAATCACTTTATTGTGCATACTGTAACATTTCTTAATAAATTTACATTATCATGTGAAGAAAGACTATTGCAATTTGAATATAAATTACAAAGAATAGAAGCTTCATTAGAAATTTTAGAATCTTGGGTATGTAATATTTCATTTATGTAATTATATACATGAATTATTTAAAAAAAAAATATTGATAATATTTAATAATTTAATTATGTTTTCATAGTTATCATCAATCCCTGGTTTGGAACAAAATCAAAATACTAAAAGTACTATAGAAAATAATGATAATAAAGAAGAAAATGTATCTAAAATAAATGAACCTGATGATATTAAACAAGATGTTTCTAAAGATATACAAACTAAAAAACAATTAATAAACAAAGATTCACGTTATGAAAAATATTTGAAAATGATACATTTTGGTGTACCAAAAGAAGCTGTCAAATTAAAAATGGAACAAGAAGGATTAAACTCATCTATCTTAGAGTAAGTTTTATCAAATGTTTTAAAATTTTCATAATCGAAAAAATATTCAAGCTTATAATAGAATATAAAAATTAATCATTTTATTATTATCATTGTATTGTATTAAAATAAATATTATATAGATAATACTATATAATAATTTTATAGTTTTATAATTAAATATTTCTAATTTTGTTGATTCATATTACATATTATCTTTTATGCCTATAATTCATTAACATTAATATTTTTTACATCAGCAATGAATCCCAACAAGTAATTTCTAAGCAGATATCTACAGAAAACGATAAGGATAAAGAAGATTAAATATTTAGTTATATTAAATTTAATATACTGAATTGATTATACTTAAAAAAAACCATGTGACACATTTTTACGTTATAAAACTTAATTAATAAAATAATATAAATACAAATATTCAGAAGATTTATTTCATATTTTATTAAATACATTTAGCAAGTTTATATATATAATTTCATCTTAAAACTGAATCATTTGTCCCTGCAATGAAACATTATTATTATTATTATTATTATAAATTAATAAATAAATTATATAAAATATTGCAAAAAAAAGAAAATTATATATAATATATTATTTACCTTTCGTTTTTTATCACCTCCTAATTCAAAATGTTTACATCTTTTAAGAGGAATTTGTTTTCTATATTTGCATTCTGTACATTCCATTCTTAATACAATCTTTTTTGTAGTTTTTGCCTAAATAAATAATACAAAATTATCAAAAATTATAAAATCATAATTATACTGATAATATTAATGTCACTATATATTTAAAAATATACTTTTTTTCTGAAAATGGGTTTAGTTTGCCCACCAAAACCTTGTTGTTTACGATCATAACGTCTTCTACCTTGGGATGCATGACGTTCTTTACTTTTTTTATATTGTGTTACTTTGTGTGGTTTATGTACTTTACACTTTTTACAGAAAGTGCGCCTCTGTTTCGGCACATTTACCTAAAAATATAAAGAATATTCACGATATAACGCAATTTTATTTTCTTAAAAAAAAGAATTAAAATGATAAATTCGAAATTCTTTTATGATTTATATACATAATTTTTTATAATTTATATTTCTTTTTTATTAATTTTTATTAATATTAATTTATTTTGTTTTTAATTTTTAAAAGATATTTTAACACAATGTCATTTTAGAGGTTATGTTATTATTATTATAACATTTGTTTCTATCTATAAATATCATAAAATATTTATATTATTGTTTTACAAATACAATATATGTAATAAAATTTAGATTTATATATGACATTATTATAAGATTATCATTAAAATTGTGGATAAATTATGAATATTTTCAATTGAAGATTTACCTACCATGTTGGACGTTTAGAAAGAAAAGGAAATATACTTGGAATATACACCGGAAATTGATATACATATATATTTACGCATGCGCGCATTAGACTATGAGAAAAAAATCAGAAATTTAATGTTTTTTTTTTATTAAAACATATAAATATTAATGAAATACCTAATATAATATTGCTTTATAAAATTTTTTTCATATTAAATCATGATAAAAATGAATATAACTATTTTTACTTTGTTTAAATATAAAATTTCAATTGTATACACGCCATTAATACTCGGCATCAAAATTGGTTTAATATATAAGACGTTCAATCAATAACAGCAATTATATGTTATAATGTTTCTTTTACTGTTGTTTTTTAATCAATTTATAAGCTTTAATGAATCATTCTGTATTTTAATAAAAATTTCTGCTATTCATTCAAACAACTATTAAAATTAAAAAATAATACTTAATATATGAAAGAAAAAAACAATATTAATATGTAATCATTTTTCTTTTGTTACGTTGTCTTTGGTTACGGAAGCGAATAATTCATTGTATAAATAATTAGGTTAATTTATAATAATCATAATTTGTTTTTATTTAATGTAATAAACAAAAGTTCATTCATATTCGTTATATTTAAAAAATATTTTTCATAGATAAAAATTTAATAAACTAATAGTAATATATTTGACGTTGAATTTTGAGTGACAGGTGTGCGTCTGCGTCATTCAAAAAGCTTAGTTCTTTTATGTATAGGATAATTCCCGCCATAATCTTTAAAGCATGTTATTTGAAATATCTATTTTAAATTAATAATTTTTAAAGTATGTATAAAATAATTATTTTCTTTATATGAAATTTATATTGTATTTCTTATATGTTTTAATTTTTTTTTATAAAGAAAATATATAAAAGATATAAATGTTCTTTAGCAATAAAACTTATTTGAATTGAGCAACATAGCCTCGAACCAGACGGTAAACTCAGGCCACGAACTCTCGAACCCCTCGTCCTCCGCAGGATCTAATTTTATTTATACGTCAGGTGGATGGATTACGTGGAAAATTTTCATAAGAAATAATAAAACATCATGTAGTGTTATAACTTTTCCAATTAGGTGCAGTGGCACGTCGGAAAAGGATATTATGATTTCAACCAATCAGACATTTATCGAGTTTCAAACCCGCGCCATCTTCATTTTTGAACAAAGCCAGGTTGGATGTGCTAGGAGCGAGCTGAGACCGGGTAGTAGTCCGCTTTGCGCTATTCGCGCCACAGTCGTCAGTTCACGACGCTCTCCACTCCTGACTGGTTGGTCTCTGTCTCACCTTCCCTTCCCCTCTTTCTTTCCCTCTGCCCCTTGGGTTTTCGCCTGACGACGCTGCTCTCTCGGGCATTTCGCCGGAAACTGACGCCGCGCGAGGGCACGAAGTATCGTTACGTGTACACATTGCTCTACCTTTTTCATCGTTTATAAGCAGACACGCAGGCATCTTGTCCATCACACATATCCATCATGAGTAGCAAAGAAAACAACGAGGTCGCTGTGGAGAAGGTGACTGAGAACGACAAAGCTTCCGGAGACGCGAAATGTGAGATCAAAGGAATGAAGAGGCCAGCCGAGGTGAGTTGTCTTGCTTTTCCCATTTGATTTTTTAAAATACTTTCTCGACCTTTTTCACGATTGTACGTAGGCATACACGTACACATGAAAGCACGTACACGCCGGCTTACACCATGCTTCCGCGCCACGCTGCTTGATCACAGCATTGTCTACGATTTCAAAATCATATTTATATAAGTCGATGGAAGTTCGTGAATATTCTTTTAATTAGATTTTCGTGTTTTTGAATTTTATGAAAATGATTCGTATTTTATATCTTAGAGTAATGAATTTGTATTCTATTTGCAATATCGTATTCTCGAGGACAGACGGGTGGGCGGGCAGTTGAGTGTCGTTTCAACCGATTGACGGCATGGAAAAGAATAGAATGCCGGCCGGCATTTTCATTAGAATTCATATTTTTACAATATTAAGAAATTTATTTATTTCTATATTTTTTCTTTAAACGATAAAAAACTATCTAATTGTGATGTTTTCTCGATTCAAGCTAAGGGACGCCATCGTATTTTGCGTGGTTGCCACGAGCACGATGGTTTAGTTGATCACCTTTATTGTTAGTACCATTTATAATTACCGATCTAATTAAAATCAGATTCAATATTCTTATGTTTTTATTTTGTGAATGCAAAATTCGGGCGGGATCTCAATTACTAACCATGTGCTTATTTCATACATTTTCGTATTGTGCATTCTCGAAGCGTTCTATAACTCTGTAGAATTTTGTGAAAATTTTGTCGAAAGCATAGTTTATATTACTTGGCATTCTTTCTACAAAATGGACGCCATTTTTTTTATCTAGAATATCAGTGTTATAGATAGGAAAAGCGAGCATCCCGCGCATTTTTCCGACCGCCGTTGCTGCCGCCACCACTACCGCTGTGGGTTTCCATTATGGCGCCCGAAACCAAGCCCGCGTTCGTTGTGCTTTCTCGCTTACTCCTATCTTCTCCTTCCCTTTCCTCTTTTTGTCTCTCTCTCTCTCTCTCTCTCTCTCTCTCTCTCTCTCTCTCTCTCTCTGTCGTAATTGATCGATAATTCGTTGTAAGAGGGTTAATCGTGTCTGACGGACGATCGATAGACACACATATCTCTTTCAGGTCGACGTGTTGCTCTGAAATTGTTTACCGATCTGCGTGCATAAACACCGCGCTGAAGGCTTCCTTTCTCGCTTTGCTTCTCTCTCTATCCCTCTTTCTCCTTTTCATTCTCAGTCTCTCTTCCCCTCTACCTTCAACTCTGTTGGTGCTCTCTTCTCTCTTTCCATCAAAAACCCCACGCGCGCAGCCAGCAGTAACGCCATGTATTATATACCCATGTCTCTCCTGCCTCCCTGTTCTTTCGTAGTATACCGCGTAGTGTTACGAACCTTCGAGAAAACATCGTTGCGATTTTTCATCTTAAATCGGACCGTCATTCGGCGTTGTGATAGGAGCTGCTTATTTTTAGTTAATAATACATTATACGTCTGTTACTATGGAAATTACAAGGTGAAATTCGTGGTCAAAAATGCCGGTTATCCACGTTTTCAGTCTATATTATATAGAAAGTCGTGGAAGCGTCTTCGCGCAACAGCAATAGTATGTCACGTGGAAAGTACGATCGTATTTGTATGCTTTTAAAATGCTTGTAATATCCCTATCCCTATTGTATTTTATAATGTTCGTTTATTAAAAAGATAAAATCTTAAAATAGTATTCATTTTCTTATTTCGTTTCAATTAAATTAAGAATTATTAATTCTTCGCTAGTTTCATATACATATGAAGTTCATTTTCATTTAAGATTAATATATTAATGTATTTATGATTATTGCAACATATATTACTTCAATTTCATAGATTTTATGACGCAAGCGCATATAGATCATAAAGAATATGGAAGTAAAGAAAAAGGCGGGAATTTCAAATAATGTTTAAATTTCGATAAATTTTTATTTAATTTAAATAATAAATTAATATTTTATTATTTCTTGTTTTGATATTTTATTATTTTTGGGATAATAATATTTTTCACAATATTTTATTTTTTATATTTTACTAATTTATATATATATTTTTAATATTTAAATTCAACTTCAAATTTAATAAGAATAATATTATAAAAATAAAATAATTATTATTTTAGAAATTAATTAATCATTTATAATCTTATTTTGGTTTAATGATTTAATAAATTTACTTTTGGTTCATTTATTTTGTTTTTTATTGGCAAGCAAAATACTTCTAGTAATTCAATATGATCAAATTAATGCGTGTTACAGAATTATATAACGATTGTTCATGACTTAGTCGTACAAGCGAGAGAAATGAAATAAGTTTATATGATAGGTTATGAACGTTAGGTTATCTGTAAAGACCTCGTGATTAGTAATAAGTTGATAGGTAATCGTGTTTGTAGGATAACAAACAAAATTTCATGGGCATTGTCGGTATGTCACTGTCAGTTGTTCGTTGTAAACTACCCGCTAATGCCATGAATATAAGTAATAAGAACAATGGTAATAATAATAATAATAATAGTAGTAGTCAACAGATTTGAATTCGAAGAAAGCGTTTCAAATTTCAGTCATAACATCGTAATATCCGAGATAATGTTTTTATGAATAGCTAGTTCTTTTTTATCATTTAATGGTTTATTTTAAACTTTTATATATATATATTTTATAATTTTTTAGTCAGTATTATAAAAATATTAATTATTGATTGCTATTAAAGAATTTATATATATTGATATTTGTATATTATACTAAGTATTTAAGTATTTATGAAATGAGATATTACGTTTCATTTGATAAAGGCATTTGATAATACATATGATGAGATGATTACCTTGAAACAATTCGTATCGACTATGTTAAAATTTTCATGATCATCTAGTAGAATTTCTATATTTAAATATATATATATTTTTATATATATTTACTTTACGATACAATATAAAAAATATATATAAATATTTTTTATTTATATGTAGCGTCTATAAGTTCTATGTATGATATCCGGACACGCTGCTTCGTGTTTCTCTTTTCCCCTCTTTCTCTTTCGTGTGCTTTACGCAGCACGAACACATCCCCTTCTACAAACATGTATCGTAGTCGTCTGCCAATCCCTACGTTTCTCCCACCATCTAGTCTTAGTTCATTCGTCCCTTTGATTGGATGATGCAGTTCTGCAAGTTTTCTATGCTGCTTTCCTCGTACCGCCGATAGACACAGCGCGTGTATGCCATTATGGCAATCTACCCTGGTCACGAGTAAAGCTGTATGAACACGAGTTAAGGTATCGATATTTCAAGAATCGTGTGAAGCATATAATTATTGTTTTTTATCTGAAATAAAATTTGATATCATCCTTTAAATTATTTATATCTCTAGTTTTATATGAATATAGTTTTGATAAGATTGAGGTTTACGATAGGCTTTTATTTTAAATATGTATGAAGAATTAAACATATAAATATAGATATATTATTAAACTA